AAGTGTGGGCCTGACTCACACTTCTTTTATTTCGAGTTTTGGGTCCCAGGACTTGCTCAAATGATCATTTCTCTTACACCCAAACATGATACAGATGTGCTAATAACTTCTTTAGAATACAGGTCCACAGTCAAGTACACTGACTTGATGTTTCCTGAAAATATTTAACTGAGGCCAAGATTACGGGATACACGGTCAAGGATTCTGCATTCCGGGCAACGATATTAGTCAGTGTCGGGGACACAGCTCAACACATGTTAATAGATGAAGCCAGCATGTTTCCAGCAACCTACACTACAGCACATTTTAATGCTTGCCTAAAAACACTGTTCTGAAGTAATTTCTAAAAGTCCCAGAAAGAAAAATCCCTTTAGTCCATAACTACAGTGGAGAGATCAGAATATGAGTTGGACTACTATGTTTTAAAGAAGTAGAAGGGGGAAAGGGGAGCAATATCTGGCTACCATGAATTCTATTTAATTTTTAAAATCTGGACAGTAACTCAGTTTATATATATATACTTATACAGAGGACCACTCTTAATTTGGCATTAAAAACGTGTTCTGGGGCACCTGGGTGGCTCAGTTTGTTAAGCATCTGACTCTTGTTTCAGCTCAGGTCATGACCTCATGGTTGGTGAGTTTGAGTCTTGTATCAGGCTCCATGTTCTGTACCAGATGGTGAAGTGTAGGGCCCAAGGACAAGCTGCCCCCAAACAGCCCACTTTGGCATGAAGATTATCTTGAGGGGGCGTCTGGGTGTCTCAGTCGGTTAAGCATCCAACTTCAGCTCAGTCATGATCTCATGTTTGTGGGTTCAAGCCCCGTGTCAGGCTCTGTGCTGACAGCTCAGAGCCTGGAGCCTGCTTTAGATTCTGTGTCTCCTCTCTCTCTGCCCCTCCCCTATTCATGCTCGGTTTCTCTCTGTCTCAATAATAAATAAAATAAAATAAAAATTTTTTAAAAATAACACAAATTAAAAAAAAAAAAGATTATCTTGAGATACAAAACAATTAAAACCCAGCAGATTCAGGAAAAGCTCTTTACCTCCCTCTCAACTACCTAAAAAAGATTAAGATAGAAGACCTACTCCAGGAAGACAGCTATCATTCTGAACTAGGTGTGGCAGAGAGGGAGGAGCCTAGCTAGGCCACTTTGATCAAAGTTCTCTGTCCTGAGGCGCCTGGGAGGTTCAGTAGGTTAAGTGTGAAACTCTTGATTTTTTGAAGGTCAGGATCTCACAATCTCGTGGTCGGTTGGTCGGTTGCTCATGAGATGGAACTCTGCATTCGGCTCCGCACTCAGTATGAAGCCTGCTAAAGATTCTTTCCCTTTCCCTCACACTCCTTGTCTCAAAATGAAATAAAATTAAAAAATAAAATAAATAAATAAATAAATAAAATAAAATTCTCTATGTCCCATTGTTTCTGAGTGGTCCAGCAAACATGGTTACCAAATGCTTACTCTTTTTCATTTTCCTGTTAATTCATTTCCCGTGAATTCATTTCCCGTGAATTCATTTCCTGTGAATTCATTCCTAGACCTCCACCTTCTCCTTAGCTGAGAATGACAGATATACTTCATTTTGCCTGACTGTCTTTGGAATGTCTGTGTGTATTTCCTGTAGGTACGAAATTAAATTTGATTTTTCTCCTATTAATCTGTCTCATGTCAATTTGATTCTTAGACCAGCTAGAAGCATCTTGAAGGGGACAGTAAATTCTTGCCCCCCAACAGAAACATTCACAGCTGGCTAGGTCTAAACCTGGTGGAGTATCTCCTTTGTTTTTTACCCCGACAACTATAAGCAAGAAGTATATGGGCAAAATGCCCTCTTGGTAGGACATTTCTGCTTTTAACCACCAGCATAATTTCTTTAGAATACAACTGAGAAAACAAATGAGATACTAGATGTCCTTCCTCACTTTCTTCTCTTAATCATGTGCATAAATATACACATTCACACTCCACCCCCTCACTTACCTTTGCCTCCCTTTCAGAGAAGGGGTCTCTCTTCTGTCTCTGTCACTTTCTTTTCCTGTCTCTCAGTTTCTGTCTCTCTGTCTCTCTGTCTCTCTCACACACACACATATGCGCGCGCACGCACGCGCGCACACACACACACACACACACACGCACACACGCACACACGCACACACGCACACACGCACACACGCACGCACCAAAAAAGGAGTTATAAATTATCTGGAGAGGATTTCAAATCTGAGGAAATAATACTCTGTTTTTGGTTTTAAGCTAGTTCCTCTAGGCAAATATCTATGTAGCTTTATACAAACTGCCATATGCCAAAATATTGATAGAAGAGTAACTTTAAAATAAATGTATGACAACAGCCTTAATTTAGAAAAAGAATTATTAACTTTGTTCCTTGGACCACCTGCTGCTGAAAAACTAGAGGGTTTGTTAGAAGAAATGCAGATTTTAAGATCTTACCCCAGACCCACTGAGTCTTCCCAGGTGATTCTGGTGCACACTAGAGCTTGCTAGCCATTGCTTTATTCACTGGTAAAATTACAGCAAATATTCCTACCATGATATCACAAAGGTTAGAGCAAAACAAAGATTTCCAAAACTAAATGACCTGTATTCTCTGCATTTCAGAATCACATCTTAATACTTGTTGATATTTGGACCGCAAGCTAAAGAAGGAAAAACAAAAAGTCGATGTATTTGTGATGAATACTTTCTGCTATCAGGTGCCTATTATTCAAACCCTCTCCCCTGGAAGTTGCAAGTTCATGGTTTTGCAGATACTGAGAAGTCTAAATTTAGTTTACAGCTATAATTATATTTTTTCCTTCTAGCTACAGAAGTTTATTGTGGTGTGTCTCTCCTTAGATTCTGTCATTGAGCAGTGAGTCTTCTAGAATCATTTAAAAGACTTCGCTGATGAGATAATGTTAAGTAAAAAGAGGTCACAAAAACATTAAGTTCCAACTTTGTGTGTAGAGATACATAATGCGAGACTCAAAGAAAGTAACCAAAGAAAGTCACCATCAGACTTCTGTGTCAGGGTTAGCTCCACTGTCCTAAAACTATCTTTAAATTTATGTTCTTTTTTAAATTTAAAAATTATTATAAACACACACTTTAATATGCTGACTGCTGGGGCGCCTGGGTGGCTTAGTCGGTTGAGCGTCCGACTTTCGCTTAGGTCATGATCTCGCGGTTCGTGGGTTCAAGCCCCGCGTCGGGCTCTGTGCTGACTGCCAGCTCAGAGCCTGGAGCCTATTTCGGAGCCTGTCTCTCTCTCTCTCTCTCTGACCCTCCCCTGCTCACGCTGTCTCTCTCTCTCTCTCTCTCCTAGAAATAAATAAAAATATTAAAAAAAAATATGCTGACTGCTCAGTGAAAAATATCATTAGCATAATTTTTATCTTACTATTAAATCAGTTTCAAAAGCACAAATTGAGAAAAATTTCTTTATAAGCTTGAAAGCCTAATACAGCCATTTTAATTTTTCCATTTGCCTCCTCAACTTTACTTACAGGCATACATACATGATTTTAACATAACTGTTATCTTAGTTGACTTACAAATTTGAATTCTGTTTTGTCTACTTGGCATTATTTTATATACACGTATGCACATTTCTGCATAGCTTCAGAATTATTTTAAAGGCTACATTTTTTAAAAAGCTGATACCTTATCAGTATATAGAAACATTTCTGCTGTATCTAGTTTCAAGTTATTATAAATAACATGGTTAGAATCATCTTCCTAGATGAATTTTTTTCTTTTATTTTCTTATTTTTTAAAGTTTTATTTATTTAAGTAATCTACATTCAATGTAGGGCTTGAACTCACAACCCGAGATCAAGACTCACATGGTCTTCTAACTGAGCCAGCCAGGCGCCCCAAATTTTCTTCTGTCAAAAGATTTCTTTAGAATAAATTCTCAGCAATGGTTTTAGTAGTTCAAATGGCATAAACATTTTTATGGATACTGTATGTAACATATTTCCCTTAAAAAAAACTGTACCAATTTTTTACCACAAACTATGTGAAAAAGAACTAGATTCCTAAGAAAGTGGAGAGGTGTTGAGTTTTCTTTTTAAAAAGCGTTTCACTTTAGGGACACTTTAGAGCCTGGGTGGTTCAGTCCGGTGAGCGTCCCACTCTTGATTTCAGCTCAGGTCATGATCCCAGGGTTGTGAAGCCTGCCTGGGATTCTCAATCTCTCTCTCTCTCTCTCTCTCTCTCCCCCACTCTCTCTCCCTCTCCTCTCCTCTCCTGCTCTCTCTCCTTCATGCTGTCTCAAAAATAAATAAATTAAATTAAAATTAAAAAGCATTTCACTTTATTTTTGTTACCTTGCTATGTACATTAATATTTTATTTATTTATTTAGTAATTTCTACACTAAATGTGGGGCTCAAACTCATGACCCAGAATCAAGAGTTGCGTGCCCTTCCAACTGATCCAGCTAGGCCCCCCTGTACACTACCGTTTTAATTTTTATTCATTATGATTAATAATTTTTAAGTTATCAATATGCTAGGCACCATTCCAAGAGGTTTCCATAATAAAACCATGTTTTCCTAAAAGTTAATTTAAATAAACCCTCAGTGTATGAAAGCTTATAAAAACCTATCCTCTATGTATTAGGTATTATAATAAATAAATACAAAGAAGTTTAAAATTTAAAATTTCTAGAACATAAATGATCTTATTTCATAGAGGTGGAAAGATACAGAAAACTTAACTATGAAAGAAAATAACTTTTAGAGTTCCCAGCACATTTATTTTTTGTACCTGAGAAGAACAAGTTAATTCAAAAGAATAATAATTTCTTTTATTAGTGAAAAAAATTTTTCAGGATTAGAAATCTCATTTAATCCGTATCTTCCTTCCTTCACAATGACTAAATAAGATTCAAAAAGTCCATTGAAGGAAGTGGGCTGATCGAATGCAAAGTGACAATATTACTAATAACATTTTTTAAATTTAAATTAAGAAAACCATTTACTAAATGACCTACCTGATTTCACGAAGCAGATCAAACCGATGAAGAAGTATAATCTCAGCATATGGAAAGTGGAGAGAGTGTGTGTCACATTCACAAGAATGATTTCCTACGCAGAGCCTTAGAGTTTCCACTGAGGGCTTTGCTAAGAGGGAGCTCAGATAACTAAACCAGAGGTGCTGTGACAACAGGAAGTTCCCGAGGGACTGCAAGGCGGGTCCCAACCCTTTAAGGATATTTGACTCCTCCTCTTTTCAGTGGAAAGTCGAGTACGTTTCTACCTTACTCAATTTTATGCATACCTTTTTTTTTTAATTTTATGCATATCTTAATATTATAATGTGTATTTGCAGAATGACGAGTTCAAAATAGTTTCATTCTTTGTGGGCGGTTTATTAGTCGCTTGGCTTGGTGTGTTGAAATCAAGTGTGAGCTGAGATATTTGCCTCCCTGTTCTTGTGAATGAAACAAATCAATGAGTATTCTTTTGGCCAGTGTCCACAAAACTACTTTTTATGTTAATTCATACACGCACTCCTCATAAGGCAGTCTTTATATTTTGTTAAGAAAATTTCATTAAGTCCATTCATGTATCTGTATTTGTCCAAATACGCTTCAGGTTAAAGGAACCTTTTTATGGCATTATACATATTTTTATTTCCTCCTATCCAGAACCTAGCTCTCCCTCTCCCTTGCCTCCTACTTTTTAAAGGAAAAGTAAATACAAAAGCTTTAAATAGAGAGCTCTGCCAGAATCTATCCACTTCAGTGTTGGAAGTAACTGAGCTTGTGTTCCCCTGGCTATGAGGTCATTTAATTCCCTTACTGGTGGAAGCCCCTGCAGCACTCACTCAAGCCTGTAGGAGGGGAGCTGAAACATACATTTATAAAGAAAAACATTAACAATGTAAAGAATACATTGTCATCCAGGACATCAGGCAAAAGCCACTAGTCATTTAGCATTGTCTACCTGAAATACACATTTATGAAGCAAAGGTATCTCCCATATAAATCTATCGGTTTTGTGTGTCTGCATCCCATTCAAATAGCAGGGGATTCCTTGCAGGAAGATTCCAGCAATGCTTCCCAAAGAATCAGTACATCAGATTTCCCCTGGTAGTGGGGAGGAGGGTGGCTTTTCAAAGTATTGCATGTGGATTCTGTGTCACACCTCAGACCTCAGGAATGCCAAGGGTCCCTAGCAGTAGTTCAAATCCCACATCTTCCATTCACCAGTCATGTGGCTTGAAGCAAAACATTTCCACTCTTAACTTTTCTAACTCTCATGTGAAATGAAGAAAACAAAAGCAGGTATCTCACAGGGTTGTTATTCGGATTAAATGAGCTATTGTAAGTAAAGTTCTTAGCGGTACAGTCTGCTACCAAGGTAAGCTCACTCAGCACTTGGTAACTATATTACTTAAGTGGCTACACAGTCTACACCTTTCCCTTCTGTCAGAAGGCAGGCTGCACAGTGCTGAGAAGAGGGGTCAGGTGGATTTTAGGAATGCAAGGCACCTGACAGCAGTGATGTTTCAGGTAAATTACATTACTCGGTACTGTAGTCTATTTTCATCTTTTGTCTCCTGCTGGAGAAATAAATTAGGGATACATAAATAGGAAAAACAAATAGGTGACCTGCTAGCTTTTTTCATTTTCCTTTTGCAGTAAGCTTTACTGGCTTGGAAACAACTGCCTTCTGGAACAAATGGAGAATTGTTCCACACTCTGAGGAACCTGTTGTGGAATGCATTGTTGGGTCAGTGTATTTGTCTGATAAATATTTGTTGAGCTCCTATCAGTTTAGTACCATGCCAAGTCTTTATCTAGACAGAGCCAATGTACATTTTCCTGGAAACCAGCCAACGATAGGGATAAGAATCCTTTCTGTTGGGAGGACTTTTTGTGTTAGTATCGATTTTCCTGCCAGTGGGCCCACAAGTTTCCCTGTAACTTCCTGGCTGTGTGTGCTTTTCTACTTCCAGGATTCAAAACAGCACAAGAATCAATGGGAGAACTCATCCTCCCAAAAAGAGAGAGTTAGAAATATGAAATATGAAAAAACAGAAAGCATTTCAAAGGATAGAGGAGGGAGAGGAAAGGGAGGGAGAACTGGAGAATGGGTGCACAGGGCACCTTTGGGAGGTGAATTACCTCTGTCTCCTGCTTGTGGGGGGAGTTACAGCAATCTACACAGGTGATAAGATTGCACAGGACCACACACAAACACGTAGTGCATGTAAAACTAGTAAAATCTTTTTTTTTTAACTTTTTATAGTTTATTTATTTTTGAGACAGAGAAAGACAGAGCATGAGTGGGGGAGGGGCAGAGAGAGAGGAAGACAGAATCTGAAACAGGCTCCAGGCTCTGAGCTGTCAGCACAGAGCCTGATGCAGGGCTCGAACCCATGAACCGTGAGATCTGACCTGAGCCAAAGTCGGATGCTTAACCAACTGAGCCACCCAGGCTCCCCTAAAACTAGTAAGATCTAAATAAGATCTGTAGATAGTACCAACATCAATTTATTGGTTTTGATAGTGCATTCTAGTTATGTAAGATGTTACAATTGGGGGAAACTGGCTGAGGGTCCACAGAACATCCCTGCACTATTTTTGTAGCTTCCCGTAAACCTATAATTATTTCAAAATAAAAGTTTTTAGGGGTGCCGCAGTGGCTCAGGTGGCTAAGTGTCCTACACTTGGTCTCAGCTCAGGTCATGATTTCGGGGTTTGGTGCCATCGCGGAGCCTTCTTGGAATTCTCTGTCTCTTTTACTCTCCGCCCCTCCCCTGCTCACTCTTTCTCTCTCTCTCTCTCAAATAAATGAACATTTAAAAAGTCACTAAAAGTTTTAAAAAGTTCCAAAAAATTGGCCAGCTCATAACTATTTGAATGTTAATATTTACTCAAAGGTATCCTGAGGAAAACCCTGTCTTTATTTCTCATCAGCTAGTCAAGAGTAAATAATGGTCAATTTTCTTAATACAATGATTCTGAGAAATGATCACAACTCAGGAATAACACAATTTGTTTCATTTCCAATTTAGTGTTATGTATTGGCTTTTTTCCTTTTTCTTCACCTAGAAATCACTTGCTACAGAGAGCAGAACAGAAAGGGGGCAGGCAAGCTTCCAAACGCGTGGACAGGAAAAACAGGTATGGACGTGTAATGAACTGAGGGGAGGTGGTTTTATCTCATTGGCTTCAGCTGTTAGGAAAGGTGACCTATGTCCTCTCTCACCCTGGTCTAATGCTCTAAGCTGGTATATGACTCGCTATCACATAGAATTTTGTCCTCTCTTCCGCCTCAGTGACCCCACAATCTCTCACTAGCAGTCCAGGTTTGGAAAAATAAGTGTTTCCTTGATTCTTTTTTTTTACAAGGAGATCAGGATAACTTTCCCCTAATCCATGTAATTTGTTTCGTGTCTTCATTCCTTCACTTATTAAAGATTTCTCAAGCTTCTATGTAAAACAATGAGGAAAAAATAGGGGATGGCTCCTTCTCACAAGGAGACAGATACATCAATGATACTAGTAATTCTAATATAGAGCTATGGATACACCTTCCATAGAGCCAAGGAAGAAACAGTAAGTTGCTGGGAACCCCCCAAGGGAGGGGCCATGGAAAAAGCTTCACACAGGACATCCTTTTTGAGCTGGGTTCTAAAGACTAAATAGGAGTCTGTGAGGTGAAGAAGGTGGAGGAAAGGTAGTCCAGGCAGAGGGAACAAACTTGGAGTCATAAAAGAAGTGTGGATTGCCAATTTGGATGTGTGCCCTAGGGAAATGATAAAGTAACCCGAAGACAGGGTAGGAAGCACCCTGTATGCCATGCTTAGGATATTGGATTTTATTTTCAAGGCAGCAAGAACCTATGTTTTTTTTTCCTGTTCACTTCTTTGTATGTTAATTGATTAGTATCACATAATAATACAAATAAACATAATAAATAATATATGCCATAATAATTTATAACATAACAAGTGTAAGAAATAATATATAGAGAGAATAATACATTTAGGTTAGCTTATTAATTTTTTTGTAGTTTATTACAAAACAGGAAGGAAAATGTCTGTATACTACTTGCCTGGCCTAAGGAGTATTCATGGAATAGAGCTACTTTGTTTTATTTTTTTTTTATTATTTTTTTTTTTTTTTACAAATAGTTTATTGTCAAATTAGTTTCTACATAATAGAGCTACTTTGTTTTAGAAACCATGACTTCCTGGGGTGCCTGGGTGGCTCAGACCATTATGCGTCTGACTTCTGACTTCCGCTCAGGTCATGATCTAAGGGTTCGTGGGAGCCCTGCTTCGAGGTCTGTGCTGACAGCTCAGAGCCTGGAGCCTGTTTTAGAGTCTGTGTCCCTCTCTTGACTCTGCCCCTCCCCAGCCCGTGCTCTGTCTCTCTCTGTCTTTCAAAAAATGAATAAAAAAAACCCAAAAAACCATGACTTCCTTACAAACAATGTATCAAACAAAATAAATGCAAATCCAGCGCTTTCAGTAACTGCTTGCTTGCAGAGTGCTGCTCAGAGCATTTAAGGATAGAAGGCTCTAGCAAGGCCTGTATGTACACTGGCAAGACAGAGGCAACATGCTTTTATTAGTTAAAAGTCCATTTAAAAAAACAAAAAATTTTGGGGTAGTGCCAATATTGAACATCCGTTGGTACCATGTATTTTATTATTAAAAAAAATTTTTTTTAATGTTCATTCATCTTTGAGAAAGAGAGAGACAGAGTATAAGCTGGGGAGGGAAAGAGGGGGACACAGAATCTGAAGCAGGCTCCAGGCTGTGAGCTGTCAGCACAGGGCTCGACGTGGAGCTCAAACTCAGGAACTGTGAGATCATGACCTGAGCCCAAGTCAGACGCTTAACCAACCGAGCCACCTAGGCGCGCCGGTACTATGTATTTTAGATTTACTTGAATCTTAAACTGCTGTTTTAAAATATTATTATTAGAACCATTTTCTGTTTTATATTTACTTAACCGGCTTCCCAAGCACTGGTCATGAGAATCTTGCACCCATAGTTGAAGTCAGATCACTCCGAACAAACATCTGGAATTTGATGAAAATTAACCCAACGACTTTTAGTGATACAGTAACAGAAAACCACAAATTAGTTTATACATTTACTCTCCTTAATAAATAAGAACACCATAAATTTACCTTCCTTAACAACAACAGCCATAACAGACAACAAGACAGCAACAAAAGACAACACAAGAGAGATCACCCTGCAAACAGACAGAGAAGGGACAGAGTAGAAGAGGAGGTGGCTTTTGCAAAGGCCTGAAAAGTGATCAGGCCTTGAATGATAGTAGTTCTGATGGTTTTGGAGAGGAGAAAAGGCAGATCCATGTGGAATGCAGGAAAGTGTAGGATGTGGAACTGACAAGTTAAATGGCTTATTAGATAACTGAAGGAAGAAGAGGGAAGAAAAACATTAAGCACCTAGCCATGCTGGATATTGAAGTCAGTCCTTCACATACATAAGCACATTTAATTGGCTCACAGGTCTGAGAGGCAGGTTTGATTAACTCTATTTTATAGATTAGGAAATAGGCTCAGATATTTCTTCATAAGACAGGCCAAACCTGAAGTAAATGTTAGCAACTTTTGTAATAAAATCTAGGACAAGGAACTACACTTGCTTTTGGATAATAAGGTCAAGGTTATTATTAGATTGAATAAGATCAAAGTCACACTATAAGGAGGATATGTTTTTCTTGAATACCAGAGTTGGTCCCCAGAAGGAAATTAATCTTTATGGTGGTGAACTATGTTGGATTTTAGGCACATTAGGCCCAAACCAACAACAGCTCACCTATGGGTTCCAACTCACTGCTATCAAATGACCCAGAATTCTGGTAGGGGTCAGCAAAACCAAAACTGACAAGAAATCTTTTAATACTCTGAGAATGCTGGCAAAGAGAAAATGTGCAAGACTGAGCAATGAATTAGAGGGCTGGGTCTTTACTGTTCTGTGGAGGGGAGGTAGGTTTTGAGGAAAATTGGGGATGGACCCTGGAAAGGGATGAAGAGAGGATCTCAGCAAGAGGAAGAGGGGAGGATGAGGAAGAGAAGGAGCAGAAGGGGAAGGAAGGGGGGGTAAAAGGAGAAGTTTTTTTTTGTTGTCATTTTGTTTCTCAGAAAACTGGGCAATCTGGGGTGCCTGGGCGGCTCAGTTGGTTGAGTGTCTGACTTCAGCTCAGGTCATGATCTCACTATTTGTGAGTTCAGGTCCTACATCAGGCCCTGTGCTGACAGCTCAGAAATCTGCTTCAGATTTTGTGTCTCCCTCTCTCTCTGTCCCTTCCCTGCTTGTGTGCTCTCTCTCTTTCAGAAAAATAAATAAACATTAAAAAAATTAAAAAAAAAAAAGAAAACTGGGCAATCGTTTAGGATAGTGTAATGAAAACTTAAGCAATGATAAACTATTTGTAAAAAAAGAAAAAGAAAACTTAAGCAATGAGGATGTGTCCCTTCAGCAGCATATGGGTTCAAGTTATCTAAGCCAAGGAAGAAAGCCTCAATGTCCTTATTTCTCCACATGGCTTTGTTTTTCTCCTCTAGCCCTCTGGTGAAGAGTTCTTGCGTCCAGGAATGGCTGCAACCATGGTGGGTTTGGAGTGAGGATGGTTCCACTCCTGGACCACGGGATGCCTCTACTGGGGACGATAGGCCAATGAGGGCACCATGTGGCAAAACCGCAGGTGTGGGCGGTGGTTGGCAGTTGCTACACTCAAGAGTTCTGGTTTCCTGATGAGGCCGAGAGATTTGACTAGGGTAATTCCAAAGTCCTCCACTTTTCATGGAGGAGGTCTAACATTTTGGCATTAGGTATTGTAAGCACACAAGTCTAAAACCATACAAACTCCATGACAGGCCTTAAGTTTCTCCTCTAAACTAGAAGGCCTAAGTTTCAGTCCCCCTAGAACTATCAGGCAGCTACTCACTGCCCAAGGCCGAAGAAACTGCCCACCACTCACTCCACCGCACTACCTTGGCAACACCCAATCAAGAAAGGCCAGCAACTATAGATAAATCTTAGCTGCCTAAGGTAAAAGTTAACCCATTAGTCTATGGTTGGTTGAATTTAAGAGTACTCTAAATGTTGTAATTGGATCCCGCCAAAAGTAACAGATACTCTGGATAACATGTATGGTTAAATCCGCTGTCAACAATGCTGTATAATTACGATTGGATCACTGTTCTCACGTCACAACTTCTGTAACTCCCCTGTCACAAACCTTATAAAAACCCCACTCTGTCTTTGTTCTGGGCTCTCAGCATGGATCCACGGCGCTGGTGAAGTCTGTGAGCCCGAGCTCGAGCCCGTAATAAAGCCCTTTGCGTTTGCATGCGTGACTCCGTCTCCCTGGTGGTCTCTGGTTGGTGAGGATACTGCGATCTGGGGTATAACAGTATGTGCAGGTGCTATTAGTGAGGGAGGAAAACAAATGTAGTGTTGTACTAGAGCAGCCTGAGACTTGATGTCCATCTTTCTTAAATCCTCGTGGCCCAAACCTGAGATAAGCTGCTATTCTAAAGCACCTTGCAGTTTTCTCATTTATGTTTGAACAAAGACTGCTCTTTTGTTTGGGAAAATCCCTTTGCAAGACTTGAGTGTTCTTTTTGGTTCAGTGAAGGCAAAGACTGACTTGTGTAGTGGAATGGACAGATGGGACACAGCTCAAGCGCTGTGCATAATAATGCCATGGTAGACTATTTTTTAAGTTAACTGTGAGTCCAGCCTGAAATAGGTTGGGTGAGAAGTGGAGGGAAAATTTTCTTCTGTTGGTGGCTTGTAAATGAGTGGAGAGATGAGCCTGAGGGGAGGAAAGTCCTTCTGGGAGGCAATGAGCAATGGACTACGGATGCTGTACTTATAACAGCGGTCTTGTTCTACATTCCCATCATAACTTAAAGCGAACTTTCACAATGTTCGGAGCCCCTGATGGCCCACAAATGAAGAAGGAGAATGTCCTCAAATTCCTTGCAGCAGGAACCCACTTAGGTGGCACGAACCTTGACTTCCAAATGGAACAGTACACCTACAAAAGGAAAACGGATGGGATCTACATCATAAATCTGAAGAGAACCTGGGAGAAGTTTCTGCTGGCAGCTTGTGCCATTGTTGCCTTGAAAACCCGGCTGATGTCAGTGTCATATCATCTGGGAATACTGGCCAGCGAGCTGTGCTGAAGTTTGCTGCTGCTACTGGAGCCACTCCCTGCTGCTGACTGCTTCATCCCTGGAAACTTCATTAACCAGATCCAGGCAGCCTTCCTGGAACTGAGACTTCTGGTGGTTACCAACCCCAGGGCTGACCACCAGCCTCTCACAGAGTTATCTTATGTGAGCCTGCCTACCACAGCTCATGTAACACAGACTCCCCTCTGTGCTACACAAACATTGCCATCCCTTACAACAAGGGAGCTCACTCAGCGGGACTGATGTGGTGGATGCTGGCCTGGGAAGTTCTGTGCGTTTGTGGCACTGTCAGGTCTCACCTGATCTCTACTTCTACAGAGATCTTGAAGAGACTGAAAAGGAAGAGCAGGGCGCTGCTACAAAGGCTGTGACCCAGAAAGAAGCTTAGGGTGAATGGACTGCTCTAGCTCCTGAGTTCACTGTTACTCAGCCTCAAGTTGCACTGAACTGGAGGCATGCAGGAGCTCTCTGTGCCTATTAGCAGTTCCTTACTGAAGACTGGTCTGCAGCTCCCACTGCTTAGACCACTCAATGGATAGGAACAACCACTGAGTGGCCTTAAGTTGCTTTTCCACAATGACAAACAAAATGCAATAGGGTTGATGGAAATGAAACAGTTTCTTAAAAAAACACACAAAACTTCTGGTCTTTCTAATTCTATTCTCAAACTTTCATTAACAGTCTTGGTGTTAGCTGTGTTTTGGAGAATTAAGGGAGGGGTCTATCTCCACATTTAGGGTTTGGTTCCAAACTCTAAGGAACTGCCTCCCATGTGCCCAACCCTGAGTGGTGACAGCCACAGGTGGGTAGCTGGTGGTTCTGGAGCTCTGGGTGGTGTCTTGCACCAGCATTCCAGAACACTTTATTGAGCACAGGATGACGGTGTAATAGGGAGTGCCTGTGTTAAAGTTCAAGCAAGCCTGGAAGTCTGGCCTTAATCAAAGCAGAGGTAAAGGTCAAGTGCAGTCAGGGATGGATTTGTGGGGCCAGAAAAGAAGGATTCCAGGACTGTCTGGGGGAGGGGACTGGATTTTTTGTCACTAAATAGGGTGGGACTTTTTTCTCTTATTGATAATTAACCAGAAGTGTGACCTATAGATAACAGGGAGCGTTAATTTGCATTCCCCAACAGCCCAGGTGTGGACACTAGTAGGTACTAGGCTTCGGGTACCTCTTGTCCTTAAGTTTCTGTGAAGTATTCTTTGAGTTCTGCCCTTTCCTATCCCTCTCCAAGGTGTGGTTTTCCTTTCTCTGGCTCCTACTGCATTTTGCACACAATTATCTTGTAATTTGTAACCATGTCTCTTCCAGTAAACTCACCTCAGACGCTAGGGACTGGCGCTCGTTCTCAGATCCCGGTTCCAATCCTGCTATGCCACTAGTTAGCTCTGTGACTTTCGGCAAAGTACTTAATCGCTCTATGCTTGATTTCCTGATTTATTAAAAATGGGCACCAGACTCCTCACCATCGCTTGAGGTTGCTGGGAGAAATGAACATGGCAATGCGTGTAAAGTACTAGACAGTAGGTCTATGCAAACCAAAGGGTTACTTCGCAGGGTAAACATTTGTTAATTGATCTGACCTACCTTAATTTTGTGCCCTCAACAAACATTTACTGAATACCTACAGTATTTCAGGCCTCGGAGCGCTCGCTCCCAGGTGAGGAAGCCTCACGTGTGGCCTGTGGGCCTTGTCCTGCGGGCCGTCTCGCGACTGGCTACGCCGAAAGAAAGCCCCGCCCACAGCCCTTTCGATCTCGCCAGCGATTGGGCCGAGATAGTTTCGCACGCATTCTGGTTGCTAGGTTCGGGATGTGGAGGTGGGTGAAGCTGCGCGTGCGCAGATTGAAGACGAAGATGCTTTCCGGTCCGGCGGGAGGAGGTGACGTCAGGAGTGGTGGCAGGCGGGGTCCTCCTATAGCCCTCAGGACGCTTTATCTGTGGGCCCTCCAATCGCGTCATAAGTCGGCGACTGAGCCTTGGCGGTGGTGGCCGAGGCGGCGAAGGCGGCAGCGGCGGCGACAGCTCTGGGGTTTGCGTCTCGGGGTGTGTCGGCCGCCGCTGCTGCTTGGGCCTGGTATGTACAAATGGCTGGTTAGGATTCTCGGCACCATTTTCCGTTTCTGTGACCGGCCGGTGCCCCCTGCCCGGGCCCTCCTGAAGAGGCGGCGCTCGAACAGGTGAGAGGAGAGGGGGCCGAGCGCCAGCCTGGCTGTACCCCCTCCCCCACCCGGGGCTCGGCCGGGAGAGCGCTGATCCAGCCAGGCAGGCCCTGCTCTGCCGAAACAGTTGGCCGGGCCGAGGCGGTGGAGGTGCGAGTCGCGGGTGTCCTGGTGACGTAGTCGGTCCCTCCACGCTATGCGATGCGGCTGCTGCTGATGGAACGAGCTAGTTGTCTTTGGAGTGCACCGTGATGGTTAGGAATTTTGATGTTCTTGTCAGAGTCCAAGCTGATTACTGTCAGATGGGGCTTTATCGAATCTTGCTACTCTTTGGTTAGTTGAAAACTAACAATTGAAGGAATACTGCCTGTGTTGTGGTTCACTGTTTACAAAGCACACTCCCAAGTGTCAATCTGTAGGCGATAAGTGCAGTTGAAGGAAGTGAGATTCATAGCTTGTCCAAAGCCGTTTTGATTACAAGAATTGTTCTCTTAGCACCGAAGAACAGCAGCTGTTTTGTTCTGAAACAGCTGTCAAACTGTGTGTGTGTGTGTGTTTTGCGGGGGAGGGAGGGAGGATGGTTCTGTGCTTTAGAGTTACTGTATGAGGGGGGGATTAGGTGTCTCTTTAAAAAAGATCACGAATTTGTACTCTAAAATTTAGTTAAAATTTTGGGGAAACTAGAAGCACTTCTTATTTAGTATCTGCCCCTTGGTTTGTCTCATTTCATAGTGTGTATCTCCTTGTTTGAGAATTAATCTAGAGAATAAAATACCATACCAATTCTCTACACACCCATCAACCTTTAGTGATCAAGTGTTACTTTCGTTTTTTATTAAGCCCCAGGATTACTGAAGGATAGTTTCTTGAAGCTTGAGAGAGCAAGGTGATTTAATACATGAGTCTGAAAATGCAGATCATTGATGAAATTGGCTGTTGGCTACATTCCGTCATGTGTTCTAGAGAGTCCAAGGTTTCAACTTATTCTTTTCTACCTTTTTGTGAGGTTGATAAGAGGATCATTGCCTAAAATGATGCTTAATATATATAAGGGTGGTATTTGTTTATTCTACCCCAGTGGCCTTGTGCTGATTGGTACTTGGTACATATTTATTGAATAAGAGAATGTTAATTCCCTAGCCCTTGTCCTTCCTTTTTGCTGTGAATCCTTGCCAGTGAGTGAAACAATGGCTTGGAGATCAAAACTCTGTTCTTCACCACACATCCTTAATCTAAAACAGTTCTTCACAATGTAAGCCATGTTTCAGTTAAAATGAAGCCAGGAGGTCTTCCTGGGATGTTGAAAGTTATTAACTGAATGGTATTCTCCTGGAATTTATTCTGTTAGATTTCTTTGGTAAAAATGGTCAATTATAATTATCTTTAGAAAGATGATTATAGTATACCATAATCTTTTAACATTTTTGAGGTATTATATATATTTGGACCTATAGGTCCAAAAACTTTCCTGAATTCCCCGATTTTTTATTACCACTGTAATACAGTTTCCATGGTAAAAATGCAATTAAATATAACACTTTTCTGGCTAAGCACTATATTTTAAGGCTTCTTATGTTGTCTACTTCTAGTAATGTAGAAGATGGCATTTCTTGTGAGGGTGGGGGAGATGTCATCTTTCAAAAGGAAATTATTTGTTGTTTTAAACTCATTTCTGGAGAGAAAAAGGATATACTAGTCCTAGGCTCTCACCTGTGTTCATTTACTAGCCAAATGACTTCTGGCCAATCAAGTTGGTACTTTAGCCAGATTACAGATTATCATTGGATAGGGAGTTTTGGGTCTCTTTCAAATAGTTTAAACAATAGTGTTAAGTCCTCAAATGGTAAAGACCTACTACAGAGGACGGTTTTCTCTTCAAACATCAGTTGACTCTCATTTATTGACAAAGTGTATGGAGGGGGTGTATTGTATGCTTATTAGGTTTACTTATAGAAATGGATATGTGTGTATATGTAAATATATATGTATATATATTTTTCTCTTTTTCTTTTCAGCACTTTGTATTCTACAGTGGACACTGATGAAATACCAGCCAAAAGACCAAGATTAGGTATTGAATATGAATTTTATTTTTTTATTTTTTAAAAAAGTTTTAATGCTTTTTTTGTATTTCTGAGAGAGAGAGAGAGAGAGAGAGAGAGAACATGAGCAGGGGAGGGTCAGAGAGAGAGGAAGACACAGAATCTGAAACAGGCTCTAGGCTCTGAGCTGTCAGCACAGAGCCCGATGTGGGGTTCGAACACACGAACCGCGAGATCATGACCTGAGCTGAAGTTGGATGCTTAACTGACTGAGGCACCCAGGCGCCCCTGAATATGAATTTTAAAAGTTAGGGTTTTTTTCTTTAGGAAAAGTATATGCATGGAACAAAATTCAAAAGGTAAAAAGTTTATGCTATGAAAAGTAAGTCTTTCCTGTCTCTTTTCTACTCAGTTATCTTTTCTAGAGGTAACCGCTGTTATCAGGGACTTAAGTATCCTTCCAGACAAATAAGCCTGTATGTTGAATGTGTATTTTAAAATTTTGAATGTTCCTATAAAGAAAAGGTGCTTTTTATTTTTGAAGCGATAACACTGTATATGTACTGCCGAAGTGAGCACAGACCAGTGTAAAAACTACTTCAAATTGAGTCATCTAGTACACATAGCTGAGTGAATAAATCTGACATGTTGCCCCAAATTGTTTACTTCTCTGTATCTGATATAGCTTGATAGAAGAGAATAAAACTAAATTAAAGGAGAAAGGTACAATGGAGTGCTATAATAATATTTCCTCTGTCTCAAAAATGAATGTGAATTTTCATCTCCTCCAGATGTGGTAGTTAAGAGTAGAAATGTCTGTTAAGATTTCATTTAGATCCAGGGGGACCTGGACGGCTCAGTCAGTTGAGGGTCCAGCTGTTGATTTGGGCTCAGGTCATGATCTCATGGTCATGAGTTCGAGCATCACATCAGGCTTTGTGCTGATAGCACAGAGCCTGCTTGGGATTCTTTCTTTCTCTCTGCCCCTCCCCTGCTGGTTCTCTTGCTGTCTCTCAAAATAAATAAATAAAACTTAAAAAAAAAAAAGATTTCATTTAAATCCAGTGAGTAATTGTTGAGCATTTCTAACTGCTAAGCAATGTGTTAGGTTCAATAGGAAATAGAAAAATGAGTAAGACAGCGTCTCTATTTTTAAGGAACTTACAATTGTAGAGATATATAATTATATAGTAGAGGGTATAAGGCAAGCATATAAATTATTACTAATGTCAGGAGGGATGTGATAAATAAGAAAGATAGTAACAAAATACTGTCCAGTTTTTAGCTGATTAAAATTCTCAGTAAATATTTGATGAAAGAGCTAGTGTGTAAGATGGATTTTAAAGGATGGATAGGATATCAACAGAGTAATAGGAAGGAAGAGCATTCTAGGCAGAGGGAACAGTGTGGAAGAGTTATTCAATTTAGGAAATAGTGAATAGAATTCAGGGGAAAAGTTGGGTAAAGAGAGGTATGTCACATTAAAGAGGACTGTGAGTGCCAGGAATTTTACTAAATTCATTAGGACAGTATTTCTCAAAGCACAGGATGGGTATTAGTTCAGGAAAGGATTTTAGGAGATAAAGCATTTTGTAACATTAAGTAACATGTGAATTATGTTACATGGTAAAACATTGTATCCTTTTCCAGTTTTTAATTTTCTGATTATTTCAGGCAGAAAATCTTGATTCAATGCTAGTATGTTTTTAATACTTGTCTATTACATGTGATTCTCTCTTCTTTTAATAGGCCCTGCTAGAACTTAACATTGCTATGTTTTCATTTCTTTATAAGGCAAATAATGTTTCCTTATGTTTATAGTAGTGGTATAAAATTACCTTTCAAATACATTTACTTAGCAAAAAACATGAGTCAATTTTAAAAATATAAGTAAGTAACAATGTTATTTATATAAGTAAAAAACTTTGGCAGTGGTTACACCTGAAACTAACAAAACATTGAGTGTCAACTATACTTGAGTCAAATGAGAAAAACAAAAGAACTTTGACGGTATTACAGAAGGTTCTTTAAATAAGTATGGTAATCATCTATTTCATGGACTTCCATGTTAAAGATCTCTCCCTTCATGAGTCCATGAAATATGTATTATAATTTTCTGAATGGAAACTAGACAGGAACCTAAACCAAGGGGGAAGCGGTGGGTTGAGGATATAATACTTATTGGCAGAGTTTGTAAAGGTCTACAGCATTGCATGCAATAGATCTCTCTGTGTGAATGGGGCCAGTGTGACTGAGAACTGAATTTAATTTTAACTA